TAATGTATTAAAAGTGAAGTTGTACTAGTAAGGGACAGACCGGGATGCTGATCGGAAGCCTAACATCTCTTTTTACTGCCTGATTTTGAAGGCAAATGGGCACCCCACTCTGCAGAAGTCGGTGAAAAGATGAGCAAAACTCATCGAATATCATAGCATAAGTGAATGTTAAGATCGGGGAAATGCGGGGAGGAACCATACATCAGTCCGTTTAGGGCAAGCATACGCGTTGTCCTGGACATCCTCGTATGCTTTGGAAAGTCCGGAGTACAAAACTTCTAGAATCTCGTCCCTGACTTAGTTATAAGGTCGATCGCGGCGCGGCGACCGCACCAATCACCGGCCCGTATCCAGCACCGGCCGCCGGCCCGGTTGGCATTGTTATTGGTTCGCTTGGCCGACGCGTTGTCTTTTTGAGCCGGCGATCTATAAATGTCGATGGTGCTTGATTTCTTGATAAGATGTTGGCATTACATTATAGAAAACGTGCTGGGGATATATCTACGGAGGGGTTTCTTCTTCTATTCACTTTCTTCCTCTCTCCCCTCCTTTTATTCCCAGTACACCCCAAGTCACGCAACCCTAACTCGTTCCATTGATCAGCATTGATCCACAGTAAGTCGCCTCAAGGAATGCCCCGCGTTGGGCTTATTTGGTCTAATAATGTCAGTCCAGTTATATTGAAGCTTTACCGAACCTTGCCCGGTCCTGTCTCTACATCACAAATACACCACTGCCAGACGGCCACGAACAGATGGTAATAGCGTTGCCGGCTTAAAAACCATACACTATAAGCCATGACACAGCAAATCCAAGAGGAGGCTATGCCATTTGGTATCCAGCACACCAAAAGCCGAATGGCGGAACTGTTGGCGGCCGATGTAGTCGTTGCTGCAGGCTCAGCAACATTGATAACGCCAGCGGTGATGATCTTTGACAGGTAAGTCCAAGTCAGACTCATCTTATCGACATATACTGACCAATATCACCCAGACTCGTCGTCGAGAAATCATTCTACAACCAACCTCTCTTCCCGGCATTCCGCAGACACCTCTGGTTCTCCCTCACACAACCCGCAACTTTCTTAACATCACGACCCAGTCTCCTCGTCTGGTCCCTTTACACCGCAACCTTCGCCACTGCCAACGCCTCAGAGACCATTCTGAGCAAATGGTACCCGAAGATTGATCATGCTATCGCAGGCATGACCACCTTTGCTTCAACATTCATAGTCAACTCCTCCGTGGGCATCTGGAAGGACGTGAAATTCGCCCAATTATTCGGCCACAGCAACACCTCTGTGCCAGCCACAAAAAACACCACCCCACCAAGCCCAACTGCAACTCCAACTCCCACTCCCACCTCCACCTCCAACACAACCTCAGCCCCTAAAACGGCCCGCTCAATCGGCCGCACCAGAATCCCCGTAGCAACATACTCAGCCTTCCTCGTCCGGGACGCCCTTACAATCTTTGGCTCCTTCAGCCTCCCCGCCATGGTTTCAGCATCAATCCCAGACTCCGTCGCCTCCCAAGAATACCTCAAGATCCTGATAGCACAGCTCGCTATCCCGGCCTCCATCCAACTCATCAGCACGCCAATCCACCTGCTCGGCTTGGACCTATATAACCGGCCACAGGTAATGCCGACCAAAGACCGGATCAACCGTGTCAGTCGCGACTGGATTGGCGCGTCGCTACTGCGCATGTGTCGCATTATCCCCGCTTTTGGAATTGGCGGGTTCGTTAATACAGAGGGCCGGCTTTACTTGCACGATCAAGTCGGTGGTCGGCGGAAGGAGTCTTGACGTCCCTCCTTATACATTATAAATATACAGATACAGATACGGATTCATAGACAAATATACCCTTTCTTTTTTCTTCTCATTTCAAATGTTCAACCCGGCTTGTGTGTGCCTTATCCGCTATCGGTCTCCCCCACTCCCGATATCACCGGGCCGGTTGTAGGCGCTTCACCTCGGATCGGTCAAGGACACAATGGTGAGTTTTGGACTTTTCCATTCCATTTTTCCCGGGAGTTTCTCGGTTGGAATTTGACAATGACGTTATCGGGGGGTGGGTTTGTTAATATCGAGGGATATTATTGCATATCGCTCGCCTCGACGGATGGCGATCCCGGTCGAAATTATACGGCCGATTTGGATACATGGCCTAAAATAATGTATTCTCAAAAAGGGCTTGGAAATCAGGTTGCTACGATAGATATTTTATTTAGAAGATTACGATCACGAACCGAAATCCAATACATATACCTGAGGCGACATAAAAGACATGGGCATATGTATAATCCCAGTTTCTCGAACACACAGTTGGATCCCCAGCACTCATGAAGGCATCACTTGGCGCATGATTGCGGAGACAAGCACAATTGTCCTCCCATGCCGTTACCATAGAGTTCACTTGGTACCAATGACAATTCGTGTAGAATGAATGCAATGGTGCCGAACTCGAAAGCGGTGGAATACTGTCAGAATTCACCATATAATCGCCCTTATATTGGCTATAGTTGTCTATACTTGCCTAACAAAGTAACAAAAGGCAATGACAGCTAATGTTTTGGCTGCAAAATGACCAAATACTTTCTCTCCGTGATCATTAACTCGTTTGCCGTGCTTTCTTGTCTTACGCTATGCTCCGTGGCGGCAAATTCCTGGGGTCAACCTATTATAAATTTATAAAGTGCACAAACTACCTACGTCCATGCAGAAAGATGGCTAGTTGTATATATGCCAGAGTGCATATCCCAATACTTCTACATTTTGTGGTTTTTCCAAGTCGAAGGAATTAGCTTTCACCAGAAGTTTCAGCGCGAAAGTAGCCTCAGAGCGAGACTATGGCATTCCGATATCTCTATTTGCTTGGGCGTGAAACCTAGCATGCTTGAAGGCACATCGCTTTCCACGAGGCCAATGTGTTCGCCCTCGGTCATTCTGAGGGATGAGTCGGTGAAGGCGGCCGCAGCGCAGGGTATTCCATGGCTGATTACCAATCCAAGTAGGTCTCAGCAGGGAAGACAAAGCTTGAGCGACAGGCGCCGAGCGAATGCTGGCGGGTACGTCGATGTTGGAGACGGATGAGTGGGATCACTTCGGGTGGTGGTCACCTCACGCACAGCAGATATACCAGAATACTGTGGGATGGATCAAGTCGGCCAGTTGGCTTGGTAGGGGTGTTTATAGAAGTAGAAATACAGCCAAGCTCATCGCACGTCGCTGTCAATGGCCTCGGTTCCAGACACGCGGCCTTTGGATGCCGAGCTGGTACCCAAAGAGTCTGCATGGCTGAAATCGTGCAAGGCATGGCTCGGGTCAACGAAGGACGGATACTGCCCGCCGGCAGTATTGAAAGACGAGGATCTCCACATATGCTGGTGAGCGATATTGACCAGCTTGCCGAGGACGGCAATTTCGAGTTTCAGCTTGATACTGTACAGCGTGGCCTTGAGGGTCGTTTGGTAGATATAGAAGTCCCTAAACTCGATGATCATCAAGGCGATATCCATCAGGATACAAGAGACGTTGACGGCGAGCAGCTGCAGGATAGTCTTGCGACTAACATGGTCCTGATTCATGCGCAGCATGCGATTCGTCTCCCACATGTACAGCCCAGAGATGATTACCTCCTGCACACAGAAACCCGTCAGCTGCAGTTTTTCCATGATATCATATCCCGCAACCGAGGCTGCAGAGCTGGAGAAGTTGGCCGCGTACGTGAGGACGGTTGTGGGCACGTGTAGCAGGAAAATGTTCATGATGATCATGGCTCTCACCATACGCAGCACGCGCATGTTCTGAATCACCAGGTGAAGGCGCGAATACAGCACGAAGGATTGGCCGGTTACCATAGTCCACCAGCCGATTGTTAAGAGCGTGACGGGTACCCAAGTCGCGGACGTTAGGCCGAAGAATTTGAGTAGGTAGCCGACCGAATACGGCAGGATGCCAACGCTGGATATCAGCATGCTCCAGAAATAGGGGCCTTCATAGCGTTTGAAGGTTAGGAAGATGAGCACGACTAGCTCGATCACGTTGTACCATGCGACGCCGACGAATGTTGCGATCGTGATACGGACACCAATACTGTCGCCTGTGTAACTGCCGGTGATCCAGTTCCCTGGGCTGGAGTTGCTGAGTGAGGACATGTCCTCATTCGGAAGATCTGATATGGGAAGAAGAGAACACACGGACCGTGACGTGTTTTTATTTTTTTTAAGGCGGGGTTTCCCCTAATTTATTGGAGGCTGGCTAATTTTTCGCCCCGTCCTGGCCCCAAGGGGTGCCAAGTGGGCCAAATGTAATAGTCGGGAATTGATTTTAACGAGATCAGCAATTCGTCCAGGGACTATAATAATACGACCCACTTGCCGTTCGATGCGAGGGGTCACAATTAATGTATATTTTCTTTACTTTAATAGCCTGGGCTATCCAGTAGATTTGCAGATTCATCACATTCAAATTCGGGGCTATGGCTGGTCACGTGTGGACTATGAAATGCTTGTTATCTGTGGTAGTTAATTAAACGTTCCTGAGGCCACTCACCATCTACCACGGACCCAAAACACAAAATGAATCTGAAACATGTCAAGGCTACCGTGACGGGGGTATAGAGGCTCATGGTAGGGATTAGGACCGTGGGCTAGACCGGAAGATAATCTATGTATTTTCTAGGGTAGGAAATCTCAAATGGATAGCGCGGGGTTGGGTTTGCCAACATGCTCCAGAAGCACTTTTCGGCGTAATTTTCCATCTTGTCCTGTCCAGGAGAAGTTAATCTGCTAATTTCACCCATATCCATGTATTAAGAAGGTTATAGATAAATGCCGACGAGACAAGGTACACCAAGTACATCAGTATGCCCGAGTAAAGCAGTCCCGAGAAAGCTCTGTGTCAAAACGTTCTAAGTCCTAGTATATAAATGTCAGGACTAATCTAATACACTGTGAGCTTTGCATGGCCTCCGAAGTGGCAAGAGTCTGATGTTCTACCACTTTACCCTCCAATCCCTCCCCTTTACTTTAATCCTGACCCAGAGAAAAGATAACAAAGCGATCACGTAATTGAGTCCAGCAAAAAGAGCGACTGCCCAATACTTTTCTTTTCCTTTACCCCCCACCGCATCGAGAAGACCCCCGGCAATTGGGATACTTGCGAGTACCCCAAAAGATACTACCGTAAAGCAGCTCGCATAATATCGTCCATATTCTTGAGTTTCGCAAAGCTGACCAAGGCATATTGGTGTCAGACTAACATTTGAACCACTGCAAAACCCGAATAGTAGTATAAAGACTACCAGTAGTGCGTAGGAATCGAGGTCTGGTGCGAGGATATCGGGTAGCCAGAAACCTAGAACAGATACTGTGCAGAAAAACAAGGAGACAATCATGGTATTGTATCTGCCAAATCGATCCGCCATGTGGCCCGCCACGTATCGGCCAACACATGAGGCAGCATTGAGAATTGCGAGAAGCTGATATGCAAACGCCGACGACCCCATCAGGGCCTCCTCGTCTGGCAGATGCTGTCGATCGATATAGTAACGTGGTGTGTACGTAATCGGGACGAAGTACGCCAAATCCGTCAAAAGGACTCCGGCGGTTGTGAGTGCCATGGCTCCTGTTCCGTCCATGAATATTTTATAGTCTGGCAATGTATCTCGCCAGGTTGTTTCTGCTCCTTTGCGCGGAGGGATTCTACTTCGGCAGAATGCCACGCTGATAGTGCTTAGTACAAACAGCACAAACCCGAGGATCCGGATCGACCATCCCCAGCCAACCTGAGGGAGGAGGGATTGTATCATCAGGGGAAAGAGAACCCCACCGAAACCACCTCCTATGAACGCTATTCCACTAGAAAGACCGCGACGCTCCATAAACCAATGGGCGACACATCCCATCGATGGGGTCAGGAGAAGGGATGAGCCGATACCGGTCATGATGGAGAATGACAAGAAGATCTGGTAGTATTCTGTATCATCATCAGCAAGGGAACGTCAATATCAGCAGTGTTCACGACCATGAACAATTTCATGTCGTATCATGAGGACTGATCTTACCCGTAGAGACACTGAGTGTGAAAATGCCAATCAGCGTGCAGATCGTCCCCGCAATAAGCAGCGCACGCGGGCCCATTGCATCAAACGTCGGTCCAATTTGTACTCCACAGACCCAGTTTACGAAGGCGTAGAATGAGAATATCCAGCCAAGAGTAGATGATGAAGCTTCTGGTAATATCACTTTGGATATAACAACCTCGAAAACACCAGATGTGTTGTAGATACCCAGTGATGAGGTCAAGCCACACCACGCACCCAGCACGACGAACCAGGCGTCGCGGCCACCCTCGGGATAAGTGACCTCGATGTTGAGAGGTGCTAGGTCGACTGTTGTGGGGAGATGCGGCGATGGCTTTTCGATGTCGGAAGCAGAAGAGTACTTGCTACCAGTGAGCGGCTCCTTTTTATATGAGGCATTCGAAGCATCCATCGGGAATGAATCGTCGTGTTCGGACCTTGGTGCTATTGTCTCAGAGTGCTTCATTTTGCAAGGATTGGAATCCTCCGTAGAAATGAAAGTGAGAAGGCAATTGTTTGCTACTAGTGAGCTGCAAGCTTTTCGAAGTGACCTTCTTTCCTAAGACCGCCACGGAATATGGCGACAGATGCAGTGAACAAGAATTCAATTGAACAGGGAGCGCGTAAAAGAACAGAGAAAGCATAACATACCCTGCCAGTATGTCCTGAATGTATCCAATCAGCAATAGAAGATGAAACTGAACGCGCAGTGACCAATCATAGCGAAAGCCTCAATGTGTACTCAAAATAGCCAATTAATATCCAAAGTTGGTCCGTCTCGAGCTAGATGCAGAGCCCAGGCTCGCTGAAAATAGCGAGGTCGGGTTAATTCTGAAGCCGATTTCATGCGATGTCCGCACCACTTCGTGATAAAACACAGCTCGGTGGAGCCACTGGGATTATTATATACTTGGGTTCTCGAAGAATAGTCTTTTATGCTTCCTTTGGCCAAGTAGCTAACCACATTCATACATCGCAACTATTACTAGTTCGTAAGTTTACATCCTCTTCCTAATTGGCCCAATGTTCTCAATTTGACCAATCAGCAGTGACCTCGGGAGTGCCCAGGCTATTAAACTCACAGTGATCAATCAGAGCGAACTATGTATGGGTCATGGAAGGTGCTGAAAATAATCAATCATCGTTAATAGCAGTAAGCCACGCGATAGTGGGTACATCTAGCATACGTTAATCTACGGACAAGATGTTTAACACGAAAAACTGATACTGAGTAGAATTCTCTGAGGTGAGAATGGCCATATAGATATAGTCTAGGCAATACTCTCGCCTTCATAGGTCTTAAGAAATAATTAGCCAATAGAGCGCCACTATACAACAACTAGGATAACCCACTAGCCATCGTAAGAGGCTGTGGAGAAACTTAACATATGTACATAGTATCTTCATTTAATGACCCGCAGAATACATAGATTATTTATGGATATAGTAGATCAGGGGTACAGGGCCTAAATGGCAGTTAAGGTCGAAGGGATGGCGTCAAGCAACAAAAGTACTAATATTGGCGAAACAGTGGGGAAAGGATCATGTATGACTGATAATGGAAGAAGGAGAGACCTATCTGGCACGAAGAAATGACCTGCCAGAAAGGATGATACGCACCCCCTCCAACAATTCATCTATGTACTGAGAATGTCCGATCAAAACGACAAATTATTGAGTGCCTTATTCTAAACATTTAGTCCTTGTGTACTGTACTCCGCACTATTGGTTCAATGTGATGATATGACTTCAGCCCAAAGTATATCGATGTACCAAAAACGAAAATACTACGTTGCATATCAGGATAAAACGTATAAGAGGTTCTGCCAGACCTAGAGTGGCGGAGTATCAGCAAGCACACTGTCCATCATCCTGGAATAATATTAGCAACATTTCAGCATGGATTACACAAGAAAAAACTCACATAGCAGGGTACCGCGTTTCGGGGATCTCAGTCCGCGTGATCAATGCCCGAATATCTTGCAGCTCCGTATCTGTCAAATTAAGAAAGACGGAGTTGGTGTTCTCATCAAGATTCTTGATCGACTTTGTTCCGGGAATAGGAATAATGTCAGAGCCCTGAGCAAGAAGCCATGCGATAGCAACTTGGGCAGGAGTGCTGCCGTGGTTATTGGCAACATCTTTGAGCCCCTGAACCAATTCGATGATCTTTGGGAAGTGTTCCTGTGCGTATTTGGGGAGCATGCGGCGGAAATCATTTTCAGGAATATCGGACAACGATTGGATCTGTCCAGTCAAAATGCCTCGGCCAACGGGACTGTAGGCAATCACAGCGATACCAAGCTCACGGCAAGTAGCCAAAATATTGGCGGTGGGCGACTCAATTTCCAAAGCGAAAGGACTGTATTCCACCTGGTACGCTGCAATGGGGTGGACAGCGTGGGCGCGGCGCAGAGTTTCAGCTGAACATTCAGATAATCCAAGATGCTTGATCTTGCCTTGGCTAGTAGCGTATCAGTGACAGAGTCTCTTGATCCGAAGTGGTGTAACTTACTTCTTTAACTCGACCATGGCCTCGATGGTCTTCTCAATAGGCGTCACGCCATCAACCCGGTGACAGTAGTAAAGATCGATGGTCTCAATCCCGAGTCTCTTCAGACTCTTCTCACAGGCAGCCTTGACGTACTCGGAGTCGGAGCGAAGTGTCTGAATACCTGTGCTGATGTCGTATTGGATCGCAAACTTGGTAGCCAGGAAGATGTCTTTGCGATTTCCTGACCTCTTCAGCCACTCTCCCACTGCGTCTTCGCTGTCAAAGTACATGTCGGCTGTATCCCAGAATCGCGCACCGATCGAATGGGCATGTTCAAGGAAAGCTACCTTGTCTTCCAGGGAACCGGCAGATCCATAGACACTACCGAGGCTCATAAGCCCGAGACCAACTGCGGGAACTTGAGGGCCGTTGCGGCCAAGGGATCGAGTTGGAAGAGACATGGCTGACACGATATCAAGAGAATTCGAGTGAGAAGATGTGAGTAGTAGAAGTAGAATTGTGAGTATTGTAGTGAATATGAAACGAAACATACTTAGGGAGCAACAGGCTTTTTATATTTGTACACGGATAGTCTATTCAATCCTAACTCCGCATAGCATAGAATCTATCCGCAGTCCGAGTCCATTGCAAAGGGCGTCATTTACAGCATCTACATACTAAATGGATACCCGTGGTCCCTTTAATGGCTTCAACCAATCAAAATAATATAAAAGCGAGCGCACCAATCGCATGCTGGCGTAGTTAAGGATTAACTCCGAGAAGCTCCACTCCAACCTTGGAAAGGACTCAGAATCCACTTAAGATATGTAGCTCCTTTACATATTCCTCAACTAACTGCCGATATGTACCGGAACGCGCGATCATCCTGCAAAAAGGCCAAAACAGGCTGCAAGACCTGCAAGTAAGTATTTGCGCATCCTCATTCTAGCACTCCCTTAACTAGATCAAGAATCCGCCGGGTCAAATGTGACGAAGGCCGACCAGCTTGCCGACGCTGCGTATCAACCAGCCGAGTCTGCGACGGCTATGGCATTTGGGGAGGAGGCGGAAGTCCTTACGGGAAGCCACAGAGCAACCGGGCTCTATCAACCTACTGCACACCGGTCCCAGCCGGCAACCTCAGTCACGAGGAACAGCTGTGCTTTGACTGGCTGATTAAACGAACCGCAAAGAAGTTTGCCGGTTTATTTCCATCTGACTTCTGGGAGACCTTGATCTTTCAAGCCAGCGCACAGGAACCCGCCGTGCGCCACGCTATCATTGCCTTGTCGTCTGCGCATCGTTTCCAAGAACGATATGCTGCCGGGCCGAATAAATATGACGAGGAGTGTTTCACTCTTCAGCAATATAACAAGGCAATTCAACACCTACGCCTCAATACGACCAACAATGGCTACTCTCTCCGAGTAGCGCTGATTACATGTATGCTCTTTATCACTCTCGAATTCATGCGCGGGCAGTATCAGATGGGGAATGCACATCTCCAATATGGCATGAAGCTCCTCTCCGATATATCTGCGCCATGGCCCCCGTCATCCATGGTCCCCACCATTCTGTCTCCTGAAGAAGACTTTGCCTACCACGCCCTAGTGGACGCCTATGTTCGACTAGGCATTCACTCGGCCATGTTTGGCCACGTGCCTTCACACGTGTATCTTGTAACAAAAGACCCGCGAACTACCAGTCTTCCATATGTATTCAGCTCGCTCCTTGAAGCAAGACGCAGCCTAGACGACCTCTTGAACAGAGTTCACTGTCTAAAAAAGCATTACCACGACCACCACGCATCCCAGACACCAACCAGCAGCCAACAAATGCTCAATACACAAAGCGCACTCCTTGCAGACCTATCCCTCTGGCATAAAGCATACACCGTCTCAGTCGCACGCCTCGAAGCCAACAAGGTATCCGGAAAAGACCAAACCGGCTACCTCCTCCTACGGGTGCACCACGAAATGGCCACAATAATGGCCTCAGTTTGCCTGTCACCAGAAGGAACCGAATCTGAGCTGAGATTTGACACCTATACGGAGAACTTCGTCAGAATAATGTCGGGCTTCCTCGATATATGGAAAAGCTGGACAGCAACAGCATTCAGCGAAGAAGATTTCTCTAAACTAGCCACCGCACCTGACGACCTGAAAGCCATCTTCCAGAACTTCAGTACGATGTCCGACATCAGCGCGATCCTGGAGGACTCTCTACTAGAAATCCTCGAAAAAGCCTCTAAATTCAACTACTACCTGCAGGTACCGGACTGTGGTAGGAGAGGGTTCACCGTTGAGATGGGGTACATCCCGCCTGTATACTACACGGCTCTTAAGTGCCGTGTTCCGCGGATCCGCAGGCAGGCTGTGAGGGCGTTGAGGGCTGCGCCGCATCGAGAGGGGGTGTGGGATGGTACGATTCTGGCGGATGTTCTGGAGGAGATTATTAGGGTTGAAGAGGGGGATTTTTATGCTGGTGATGTCCGTGTCAATTCGTCTGTTGGGCATATCCTACCCGGGAACGAGGATTTGCTTGTGCCGAAGGTGCCAGCCGAGGCAAGGGTCTCGGATGTTAGGGTACTTCTGCCGAATGATGTTGGGGGGCATACTTATGTTAGCTATCGGAAGAGGGCTGGGGATGGTGAGTGGGTGACTTTCAAGCAGAATATTGGTGTATAGGGGGTTGCTGTAGTCTCTCTTTTCATAGTCTCCTTTCATTGTTTATTGTACAATTTTTATATCGCCGTATAAACGGCCGTGGGTCGTGATTTCGTAACATGCTTTCCAGTATCCATAACACCCCAAAGATTGTCTCCCTTTTCCAAATTCATAATGACAGAAGTCTTGTGCCTTGCATAACTAGTTACTTCCCGCCTACTTTTTGACTCCGCAAAAATGCAGCCACCTGCTCATGCCTCGTGACAAAAAACATGCGCTTCCGATCCGACTTCCAAACCAGCACGCCAATCTCCGCAGCATACTGGCAAGGAGCCTGATATTCCGTCAAGCTGGTGAAATCCTTGAACAAAAAGCCCGCCGTGGCCCGGAGACGGTCCCGCTCCAGCTGCCACAGTCTGATCTGATCTGTCACGGTAGGCGGGAGGACAGATGCTGGGACACCCTTGCCGTTGGGTTGGGCAGCGCTGTGCTTCCGCAGCTGTGGGTGCGCATGCGATAATAGGTACGAGATGATTTGATCGGCAGTGATTCCCATCTCGATAGCTCGGCGGACAGACTGTCTTGTGATTTTGCCGGTGACCAAATTGGGGAAGCGGTATTTGAGGTTTGTGAAGAGGGAGATGAGGGATATTTGCAGGGGTGATGAGGTGTAGGCGTAGAGTCGGTAGTTGGTTTCGATGATGATGAACCCGGAACCAGAGCCACCAGACGGCCCTGCTGGCCCAGTCAGGGAGCCTGTGACAGGGTTGCTCAGAGCGCTCGAGTCGGATGTAAGTGTAGTTGCGAGACGAGTGGGATAAAAGTGTGTTGCGTCGGCGTCTTCTTGGTAGACAATACCAAAATCGGCGAGGTCCGCGAGAGTGCGAAGTTGGTTGGGTGTCATATGGCTCTTGTCGTAAGACGATCCGAGCTCCAGGCTGCTCAGGAGGAACAGAAACGAGAGAACCTCGACGCTATCCATGCCGATGGCCTCGGCGCTCTCGACATAAAGAATCAAGATATGCCAGACCTGGGTATTCACGTCCTGGAGCACAAATCCGAACCCGTCTTTCGTTATATCGACACGGTTGCCTCGGATCTCAACTAGGTGTCCCGCTTGGAGAAGCTGTTTGACACCCTTGCTCAAACTGACCGCGTCGCGCTGCCCACTTAAGGCACTCGTTCCAACCATGTACCCCAAAACACCTTCCCACTGTCGTCTAGCATATTCGTCCAAATCGGCGATCGAAGTCAGGGTGTGTGCTGGGGCTTGGGAGAATACACCGAAAGAATGCGAGTCCTCGGCACCCATCAGAGCTTGTCGAAGCGAAGCAGCGAATGGGTTGGTGATCATGTACGCACGGACGTTCTCACCTGTGAGGGTCGTAGAAAGGATATGAAGTCGACCTAATATTGAAAGCGCATTATCTCGTTCCCTTGTGTGAACACTGTCAGTGATGACTAGAGCCAGACCCGGCAGATAAGCCACTCACTTCTTGCTCTCTGAGTTGACCCAAACTTCCAGATCTGCCGTTGGAAGAGGATCTTTTAAATAGAGCAGAGCCATCACAAAGCATTTTGCTATATTCACCGTTAGCACAACAGTCCCTTCCATGTGAGTGAGCTCAATGTACCTAGATCGGGCAGCATGCGCCGGAAGATCGTGAGGGCTGTGGATGGCTGTTGGTATAGCTTATAAAAAGTCGTCCCGGGGAGCCCCTCCAGGTACTCCAGAGGACGGGATGTTGCACTCGCCATGGTGAGCTGTGAGAAACCAAGTTCTCAAGCAACTGAAGAGAATAAGATGTCGAAGTGGAGTGGTTGAATGAAATGACGCTGGTACGGTTGCCGAAGCGGCCATAAAGTGCAGCTCCGGGATGCTCCCGAGTCACCGAGAGTCGAGTACAATATACGTATTAACCCTCCCTATACCACTCCATCTCCAACACATTCATCACTTTTGAGAAATGGCCTCTCTTAGATTTGTCCGCTCTGTAATTGCCAAGGACTTCACATATTCTATCATTCACTTCTTACTAACGCATTTCGCTATCTATAGGTGTGGGAGTCCTTCCGAGCTACCTCGGGTCTGGAGCCTCGGTATGGAATTCATCCCAACTTGCCTCTACCTTTCAGATATCGGAGAAGAACTAACATCTCACTTCAATTGAACTAAAGCTTGTTAAATAATGTAAGTCTGAGCCAGTTTTGTAACGGTTTATATTGGATCACTGACCTCTATTATAGCTCCGTGTTACAGCTGCCAGGCCGGGTGTAGTCAACTTTGAACTGGATATTCAGAAAGAGCATACAGTATGTCCCTTTGTGCTGCAGTCTCTCCGGCAAACATCTCTGTGGATCTTTTTAAAGACCCAACTTCTCACATGGGACGTCATCACTGATATCTATATCATCTAGAACCGCCTGAATATCCTCCATGGAGGCACTATTGCGAGCATGGGTAAGAGATCCTCGTATGTGGCGCGAATGCTGTGATGCTTGGCTAAAAATGCTCTAGTCGACCTCGGAGGTTCGCTGGCTGTGGCATCTCGTGGCTTGTTCTCGACAGGTGTGTCAACGGACCTGAATGGTAAGTTTATGAAATAAGCATCACGCCTGACTTCTTCTGTTTCTAATAAATTCTCTTAAGTCACATACTTGAACTCAGGCGGCAAAGTCGGTGACCGAATCATGGCCGTATGTCTTTCTCCATCTATTCTTCTCAGTCTCTCAATCCTACCAAACGAGTACTAACTTTTGACGTTAGGAGGTGACTTGTGATAAATGTATGCTATGCTATCTGACTTCTTCGTCACGTCTATTTTGCTTAATATGTTGGCCATGAACTAACTAGCCGCGCTTAGTTGGCAAGACCCTTGCTTTCACGAACATCAAGTTCACGAACCCCAACGGATATGTCGTTGCCCGTGGGAGCCACACGAAGTGCGTACCTATTGTATTTCCAGAAGTAAACTGCTAATGTCGCTTAGGTATGTGACCCAGGCTTGGAGGGATCCCAATAACATTGTAGAGGAAATGAACAAGTACAAGGACCAATGAGAACGAAATTGGGTATTACGATCGATGAAACCAGAGCGTTTTGGTCGAACAAGTCACACATTTACTTCAAGTCATTAAGACGTCCAAAGACAAGATCAGTCGACATTGCACCAGCAAATTTGAGTCAGAAAAGACCGATTATAGAATACAACGAGTCTGTTCATATCCCCAAATGATACCCACGGGGTTTCTAGCGCCAGAAGGTGTCATTTTCGGGGTAGAATTCACAGGCCCCCATATTCTATGTGTAAAATGAAATGCTGCTCACTCAAAAGCCCCCTCAGAGTACAAGGAAGCAGAAAACTTGAAGTGATACCAACAAATTCCTTTATTGAGTGCTGCTGTTACCATTTAACTCGCGAAACAATTCATACAATATCTTCATCCTCATCAGCCCCCATGGCCTCATCCTCATCCACATAGTCATCTTCGCCAGCTGGCGCCGCATCCTCAATGGTGATATCTCCATCATCCATAGCCTTCACCTTGGCCTGCGTCATCTCAAACACATATTGTCCAAGGTGCTCAACACTCTCCATCGGCGTGCCCTCAATGGCGGCATTAGCTTCCCGCGACGACGGGAACATCTCACCAGGCGCGAGCATGAGCTTGTCCGGTCGTTGCAGAAGAAGGTCGAATGCGGGCTTGAGTTCGTAGCACGATTCGAAGACTTCTCGTCGGCCGAGGACATACAGACCTAGTCGGGCGCGGGAGAGAGCTACAGTCAGGCGGCGAACGTCGCGCAAGTATCCGACGCTGCGGGTTCGTGTGAGAGAAACGATCACGTCTAAAACATATTAGCCATTCTGATATTTTGAGTGACGTAAATACGCTCTGGGAGGAAGTCAACTCACAATCATTCTGTTCTCCCTGGTAGCGATCCACTGTCGTCACAATCTTAGGCATTCCAAACATTGGGTTCTTTCCACAGCGGTGACTCAATACATCCCGGATCAGGGCTGTTTGCCCAGCATATGTGGCTAAGATCGAGATTTTAGAGGCAGGGTAGCCCAAGAGTCGCATGTACTGATACATGGCCACTGCATACTCCGCTTCACCCAAATTCTGGATAAAGTGAGGTGTCGGCTCTCGCTCTCCAGAACCCTGATAGTCGGGGACATTGATGAACTGGTAGTCGAACTGGAAACCGGCATTGGCCTGCTGGTACTCGGAGGCAGTTTCAACCACTGGAAGATCTCCGAGGTCCTTGTACCGCCAGCGGAAGAGCTCTGCAATGCTAGGTCGTGCGCGTCCCTGCTTATCCAAGTTAATCACTGGGACACCCAACCGCACCAGTCGCAAGAAGAGACTTTGCTCGAAGTGGGCATATTGACGGAAAGCCATGTTCTGGATGATAGGTGAGTTCTGGTAGTGATCACCGCAGAGAACAACACGCTTGAGAGGAAGTTCGCCGTTCTTCATGGTTTGCAGAGCGTTAGGGATGAAAGTCTCCACTTCAGTAATCTGTGCAGCTTCTTCCATGACGACGTTGTCGTAGTGGAAGCCTAGATCGGCAATTTCTTGCCGGCGCATGGCTGCGTGAGTCGAGGTCATCGCGATAATCCGAGCCTCCTTGACGAGGAGATAGTTCGCTTTATCGCGGGGTTGCCTCAATATCTCGAATGGCCGGATGTCTTCCAGCTCAGAGAAGATTCGAGCAATATGGCGTTCGCAACCTGCAGCAGTATCAATGATCGCCTCCTTCGCCGCTTGGGCTTCGAATAGGGGTTGGGGAGCATCTGCAAAGTATGATTGGAACGGGAAGGATGCGACAATCTCGTCATTTGACGTTCCTTCGGAATTGGCTCGATCCCAGAATTTGGCCCATGTTGGCTGCACGTAAACTGTATTGAAGTAGCCTGCAGTCTCGCATGAATTTCCGTGCGCACCCTCGACCCCAATTGACGCCGCCAAGCGCATCACTTCTGACAGATAGTGATTGCGGTTGTTAAGGAAGGATTCGACTCGTCCATACTTGCTGTAGTTGGAATCAGTGTCCAATTCTTCCTCGCCGTGACCCAGTCGCAACAAGTGTCGTTCATCAATATCAAGGGCGATTATTTTCTGGAATAACTGATTGAGGGCCTGGTTGCTGTGTGCAATGAGTAGCGTCCGTTCATTCGGGAAATTGTGGTAAATGTTGTTAATTATTTGGGTGGTGACATCAGTCTTTCCAGTACCAGGCGGTCCCACGATTACGGTGAGTCCAGGCTGTGTTCCAGATGCGATGGCTTCCACCTGGGCGGGTGTGAATCGGATTTTGTTCAGTTTGGGAGTGTCGACGGGGTAGGGGCCGGGGTTTGGTGGCTTGTATGTGGAAACACGCATGCTGCTAGGCGCCAGCTCTGTCTCTGCAGCCTGTTCCCGGCGTCGCTTCTTCGGCGCATGAGACTCTGCTGCAGGCTCTTGGTGAACATATTCAATAACATAGGGCGGGCCAAAGCTGGCATTCTCAGCGCCCGAAGGTTCAATGCCCGGGAAGCTTTCCACCAAATGAGACCAGTCCAAAAGCGTGTCTCGGAAGTCGACAGTGGTAAGTCGGTTTGGCAGCTGTGTGTATCGAGCACTAGCGGGATCTCCATAGCCCAGGAAGATGTCTTGGAGCCAGGAAGGAAGCGACATATCAGAGACAATAAGCTTTTGCATTGTCTGCAGAATTGACTTGAAGTTATTCTCCCTGCCCTTTCTCCGTGCAACCACATTTATGAGGGGGTAAATGTCCGGTTTACCTTGGGCCTGCTGGTCCTTATCGGCTTTGAATGCAGCCGCATCCAAGTTGACGATCAATCTCCTCAATCGTGCCCTGGGCTGAGAGCCATTTGCCTGGCCACTATTTTGTCGCAATGCGCGGCCTTGCTCGTCAAGTACCTGTACGACCTCGGCCGTTCGAAGATGGGTCATCCGAGGGGCTTCAGATGCACCTTGTTCCGACTGTGACGAGCTCGACTGGACCGCCAAAAGATAGACGACGTCATCGGGACGGAGTGATTCCCATTCTCTCCTAACATTATCTGCAAGCCTTCCCACCTCTATCGCAATCTCAGCTCGAACAAAAGCCGGGTCTGTTGCCCCGACCTTTGGTGGTGCGACATCAATGATAGCAGGCTTCGAAATTGGAATAGCCATTCGAGAGAATCCCTCGAAATTTAAGCTTCCATCACGTGCTGCCTTTGGCTGCATGCGTTTGACGACGGACTCCATATCCTTGCGGATTTGGAAGAATGCTTCTGATCGGTACAGGAGGAAGGAGCGCCAAAGGAAATCTCCAAGACTCAGATACTGGAGGTTCAACTTTGGGATTGCCAGAGGCCTCGATCCGTCGTATGTCTCATTCCTCAACAAGGCCGGGTCATAGAGGGTTTCTTCCGTCGGAAGTGGACTCAACTTCTCGACAGCTTCTTGGAAGGGCACCTTGCGTTCATAGGATGATGCCAAAACTTCCAGATAGAACTGACGGCCTGGAGTGACATGCGCTGATTTTGGGTAGCTTGTGCGGAATCCTAGGTGAGAGCAAAGGCTCTGGAGTTCCGACTCGTCCAGAGAAGATAGCTGTCCCTCTATATCCGCTCGCTGCGCAATTGACCCCATATTGGAGAGAGCGAGGATCATGAGCTTGTCCTTGAAGAATTTCATTGAGGTTCTTTGCAGCTGGGCCAATTCCTGGCAATGCAAATCGTAGACTCCCTGCGGAGAGAGAG